ATCAACCCCCCCCCCCTTCTACACGGCGTGGGGTTCTACCGGTGAAGGGCCCTAAAACTTTTGGTATTTTTAGAGGGCGAACGGTGCCATTTGGTATTTGGTACGATTTAGCACCATTAATCAGCTAGTCAATATTTTAAATCCAAGAGGGGAATATTAGTGTGATTTTTTTCAGAACCCCCCCTCCAAATCCGCCACTGCTTTTACTACAGCTACCCGCAGATCTTTTAGCTCTAACACCCATTTTAACCACAAAACATACAAATTATCCAACACTACCAGAGCTGTGTGGTGCGTTGGCTAATCCGTGGGTTTTGTGGTTAATATAGGCGTTAGTACTAAAGATCTGCAGCTAGTGTCAGTAAACGCCTGATCCGTTTATAAGGCCTGGAAGTCTCGAACAAAATTTTATTGAAACTGCGCTATACATGATAGAGTTGATAAGTCAACTTACATTTCTTAATCCTTATCTTCCCAAAGCAATTTCGTTGATGTATAATTTAAAAAAGCTTCAAATTTTCTTATTCATCTTGGTCTTTAGATAATCTAAGAGATCAAATATCTATCCAAGTATCAGAATGCCCCCCCCCCCCCTGGACAATCCCCCTTCAATGAATATAATAATGAAAATGAAAATGTCATATTGAGAAAAATTATAAATGCCTGCTTTTAATAAAATTTTATCTCCAGGTGGTGGGTAAGCAGATAACCTCATTCTACAGGTATTTCTTTGATGAATTTACTGTAAGTTTTAATTGTTTTACCACTGCCCCATGACAGAAATAAACAAGCTCCGAAATTTATCTTCTTTTTTCTAGTTTCATTATTATTATTTACTTAACCTGTTGTTCAGAAACCTCTCTTACATCAAATAAAATGCAAATAAAATGATATTTATTTGCTTTCAGAAAAAATAGAGAAAATGGTCGTATTAGTTTGATTAAAAAATGACATGTAATGGCAAATGACCAACGGCTTCTCCCCACGGCTTCTCCACGTCCCTGTCCCTCCCCACGGCCTTCTCCACGTCCTTGCCCCTCCCCACGGCCTTCGCTGTTATTGATCTTTGTTCGCAGGCCACGGAAACTAATGAGCGCCGATTGATCTCGTCTGCTGAACGTTATTACCTCCGCCAAGGAGGTTAGGGGAGACCGGGGCTAGTTGGCCCAGTTAGACACTTTTGGCCTTGTAGAGCCAACTAGGAATGGGTTAGAGTAACAAAACCGGTTTCAAAGTAAGCCCCATGAACTATGCTACGTGTGCAACATCATTATTTTAAAAATATAATGCCAGATGGCTCACAATTTGACAAAAAACGCAGTTGACGTCAAGGGGGCCAACTTGCCCCGCCACGGGGTCGGGGCAAGTTGGCCCCCCTACACGAAAATGAAGTATATATCCCATGTAAACGCCTTGAAATATATTTTTATACATTTTTAATTTATAAAATTGATTTTTGAGAGCCTTTGATGAATAAATAATTGAAATGAGGCAGATTTATTGAGGTTTCCGTACGTCACGTTGTAGGGGGGGGGGGGGTATGTGTTGCAAGAACCAAAATATCTATCAAAAAAATTGTTTTGTTTTAATTAGGAATACATTATAATGTTATAAAGCAGGTTTTTAATGAATGAAAACGAATAATAAATTTTCGTTTTAAAAGAAGGTAACAAATTCAGTTTTAAACCATTGAGTTTGTTTCAACAATGGTCTCTAGCTAGGGAGGGGTGGAAATCCCCTTGGGGCCACATATAACACTATAAATACAAAAGGAATTCCCTTACAATGAATTAAGGCAAAATTAATGTTTTTCTAATGAAAGTCCAATGGATTTGCTTTTTAATACATACAATCAACAGAACATTTCTAATATAAATTTTCGAAAAAACACCAGAGAGCAAATTAAATCAATCAGACGGTAAACACCGGCAAGCTTTGTCAATTTCACCAACTTGTTTATTTCAAACAGCGTTGCGCGCAAAGGATTGTGGGTAACATGAGGGTCCAACTTGCCCCGAGTCAAGGGGGCCAACTAGCCCCGGGTATGTTGATCTCGGTCCCAGTTTTGTATGGACCAGACTGTGTCTATGTGGAACAACGCAATATTCACATGTTCAATAAACACTAAACTTTATTCAACACCTAACCATTACTACTAATGCATCATGGGACGGACCACAATGTCAGAGGTCACAACTAACGCAATCATCAACAAGAACAACCATTGCTCAGTTGCTGTCAGACAAGGTATGTAAGTTAATTTAGACTTCAAGACTTCCATTTCTATTTTTACCTTAAAATTATTATCAACAGACACTATGGGTCTGGACATTTAGCCATGCATCACCCATGTCTGATGTCACCGTTGTTGTCTGTATGGACTTTCCTGGATTTTTTTTAATTGATCCTAAACACCATGTAGCATGAAAAACAACTTTTCATTATTCTAACTATCATGAAGTAGTGTAACTTTTATGAAATGGCATTCAAAGAAATTAATAAAATCGATAACCATATAAAACAGAACACTACTTTTAAATGTTCTAATTTATATTTAACTGCAACTAGCTTATGCGTGATGTACAGTTGTACCAGTACCTAGTATACTGCAGATATATAAATATGTGAATATTTATGAGAAGCAGGCTTATGCATGCACGACAAAAAATTTTCACCAGAGGGATAGGGGTAATACATACATGCATTATGCTAATGAACCATGTGGAGTGCAGCATTTTGTTCATATAAATAGAATGCATTTTCTTAGTGTAACTTTAAATATCTGTGACAGATAAACATTTTCTGAATGTCCAGAACAACAGTACTGGGTAGCACTTAAAAAAATTAACAATAAAAAAATTAGCTGTGATTATTGTCTAGTAATATAATTCCACCAAAAATGACAAAAAGATATTTTGTGTGCCTTCATTGTTTATTGGTTGTTTATAATTTTAATCTGTTTTAATGGCATTGCTTCTTTTAGTTTTGCCATTTACGTCTGTCCATTTGACAGCTTTGCTACCTTGTTTTTCTTTAAGAAACATTCACTGAGTATGCTAGTCGAAGTTTTCTTAATATAATGACTATGTGAAATATCAGCACTGCTAATTAGTTTTTAGTCAATCCTTTATGTCTCCTCATTAACCCTAGTGAAAATATAAGAAAAAGACAAACACAAATATGATGTTCGAAATTTGGCCGATAGCAGCTGCTTTTAATGAAAGGTCCCTCTAGTAAAAGAATAGTGTTAGTTATTATATAGCATTAGATAATGTTAATTTTATTAAAATTACGTAATGTTACAGCATAATAAATAAATATCACACTTCCCTATGTTAGGTACATACACTAGATTAAATTTCTAGTATTTTGGCATTGTTTTTAAGGCTGCATTTGATTTGTCATTTTGGCAACACCATTGAACAAACTTTATTTATAACTTGTATGTTTATTAGGTAGGGTGGCCTATTGCTGAAGCTGATGACTATCACACACCAGAAAACTAAGCCAAAATGGCCAGAGGGATTCCTTTGGAAGATCAGGTACAGTGCTTGTATCGTGTTTCTAGTTGTAAATCTTTGAATAAAAAATTCTTAAAGAATTTAATTATTCAAGGACACCTGTCAGCTAGTCACAAAAAATATTATAAATATATATTACATTTCAGATTTTAAATCTTGACATGTAAAATTTGTTTGCCATGCTGAAGCCAATATTGTTATCATTGTTAATTTTTGAATAAAAAGGTTTCATAATGTTCTTATCTCAGTGATAACTTAATTGTAACCATTGTGGTCTTTTACATATTTTACAGGACAGACTACCATGGCTTCTGGCATTACACCAAGTCATTCAAAGGTTTGTGTGATTTTTCAATATTGGTCAAGTTGTAAGTGCTTTCATAATGCTAGGATCATGTCGCTACCAATAATACTTGTAGTGAAATGATAGCGGCTATTAGCCATACTGGTTTCAGTGTGGCATGCCTCGTACAAATCCTGAATGCTGAATTCTGATTATTTTTCACAACATGCAATTCAAAGTACTTAACATATCTAAGATTTAGAATACAGAAGGAGCACAAGAGTAATTTTATTTTGATGTAAACTTAGTTGGCTTTTGTTATGAATACTGCTTTTCTTTCTATCATCAATGTCTCTTTTAATGTAAGTTTGAATGTTAATATGCAAAAAATCAAAGGTATTTCTCTACAAACATAAAAGTTCTTTCTGTGATCACCATTTATCAATTTATCAATAAACCGTGTTTTTTAGGTGGCTTGATGAAGGTTCATCTGGAATAATTACTTGCTCCTCTCTGAAGAAGATCTACCGGGAAATCATTCTAAATGGTAATGTTGGGGCTGAGGATTTTGCTGAAGATAAAAATCCAAGTAGGATAAATGGAGCAGCATTCCCTCCACAGAATATCAAATTTGTCTACTTGAAGGGAGATAAAGAAACAATTACTCAACGAATGCAAATGCGAACTGGACATTTTATGCCTCCCTCATTAGTTGAATCACAATGTTCAGTATTGATCATTACTGAATTGGTCCATTTCAACTCTAAGTTTTCCATAGACAGCACCATATATATACTATACAGTATCAGAGTTGGTGATTCTGTTATCACAACAAGCACAGAAGTTAGAAACGTGGGTGTAACTTTCAACTACAAATGTGACATGACACCACACATTAACAGTGTGTAAATCATATTTTAGTCTGCAACGAATATCTAAGATTCTTCACCTTATTGACAGCAAGCAAACAAGAGCTACTCATCCATGCATTTGTGACTTCTAGACTGAATATATTTCATAATTGTTCTTTGAGCAGTTTTCATAAAGTAAAATTAATCAAGGACACAGTGACAGCTAGTCGCAAAAATATTATAAACACTTGTCATTAATGATTTAAAATCGTGACATGTAAAATTTGTTTTTCAATATCTAGTGAAATAAACTCATATATTGCCAGTAAAAATATCGTGACATGTAAAATTTGTTTTTCAGTATCTAGTGAAATAAACTCATATATTGCCAGTAAAAATTCTATCTGCTTACAGTCAGATTTCAGTAGGGAATGGGCCGAGATGGGTGTGACAGTCTATCACTTGGTGTTCTTATTCAGTTAGTTGCCCTCCCTCCTTTTTCTAGAAAATAAACGTTACTTTCTAAGCCTCTGTAATGGTTTAGCATCTAGTCTATACTCTGCCTGCCCTGTCCCTGGTAGACTAAGAGACAAAATTTTTTTAATTTCTTCCATAGTTATTCCAAAAAAACTCTGTCTGTTAAATCAATATCATTTATTAACAGTAATGTGTTTACATATAACATAAAGATCATAACATACTGCAAGTTTTTTGAAATATTTCAGCAATGAAGGTGACTTAGTTGTTTTGGATTTCTGTTTAACATGAGAATTTGTGGATATTTTCTGATTCCACTGGGTTAACAAGTCCTTTTGAATATCTGGAGGCAACTGTGTGAAAACAGATTTGTCAATGTCAGGAGGGACCATGATGTTCAATGTTTTGTCTGTTGTATCCAATGTGCCACTATCAAAATGTAATGAATTTTCCTCATCATTTTTCTTGGAAAATGACATTTGACAAGGACTCAAAATTGAACCTTCTATCTCAGCACCAACAGTCAAGTCTTTTTCCATGCATGTATCCTTGGTTGTTGATTCAACTTCAGTCTTTGTGCCTTGTAACATGTTTCCAGCCTTTCCATTATTGCTATCACAATATTGGGTTGTGTCCGTGGCCTTATGGACACTGGCCTTAAGGCTGGAGTCAAGAATTTGGGCTTTTAACAAATCTGCATTGGCTAACACTTCTTATTTCAGTTCTGGAGGTAAAGCATCAAATACAGACCTATCAATGTGATCAGGAAAAGAAACCACTGTACCTGGCACATCCAATTTCAATCTCTTTGTGTCAACATCATGGCAGTGACTTGGCACTTCAGTTCTTTTTTCCTTTCTTTCTGTCCATCTTAAAATTGAACTCATCCCGGTATTTGATTTACTACACATTTTGCTTTCTTTACCAGGTGGACTGTGAAATGACTGACTTAGTGGAGGGTTCTGTGGCTGCTGTGACCGCTCATCAAAAGTCTGCTTTTGTCTTTCCTTTAAGTTTGCTATTGTTCCTGTTGAACTGGTATGTGCGGCACTAGTGGAAAAATATGCATTAATTGTACTGGCATATGTTGGTGTTACATCAAATTTGGTAAAACCAAAGTTGAGCAAAGTTAGGTGGAATGTTTTTTTTTTGTGTCTATGATCTTGTGGAATAATTCCATGGCAATCTGCAACAGTCTGTCCTTCTTCCTTTCAGAATTATCTGAAAATATATCTCAGAAGTATAAAAAGAAATCAAAATATCACAAAGCATCAGCGTTTTTTGCATTTTTTCTCAAAAGTAGATTGTAGGGAATCAATGTTACAAGAAAATTTTTTTCCATGCAGGGAAATAATTAAACAATTTCGCTTCTTAATACTCATTTCATCTTCATCTGGATAGTCTTGTTATTACTGAGCACACAATACGAAGCAATAGTTTTGTTATTACCTAATGCGAAAACATGACTAGGAACTCTGCATTGTCTACTTTCTCTCTTAGACCACTGCCCTTCTTTATCTAATTTTCTGAGGGTTAATCGTATTATTCCAGGTAGTCTTCCATCTTCCTCTAGTCTGTAAGAGAGCAAAGTTGTCAGTAAAATTACATGGGAATTTGTGATTATTTAGTGACTTTAAAAGGACAAGAACACAAGACAATTATACTGTCTTCTTTCTTCCCATTTTTTCAAAAGAGTTGGAACTAATGCATAAATATCTTGGTGTATGTGTGGACACCTCTCTGTCTACAGACAAACAAATATTCCATATTTCTAGGTAATAGCAAACTAATACTAAACAAGGCAGCAAAGCTGTCAAATGTACAGACAAAAAGCAGGAAATAACAAAATATGCTACTGTCAATTCTGATGCAAAAGTACATTATGTTAAACTGCAAATTCAACATTAAATTCTAATTATGCTCAACAGGTAATACCAATGTAAGTAAAATGTGTAACAAACATAAGGCTTCAGGCCCATGGGAGTTCAAGTTCACCCTTTGAAAATGTAAAACTTCCAGAAATGAAGTCAATTAGACTGCTTTTCCAACTCAGGCTGCATTTTAGTCCTGTATTTCTTTTTTGAAAGTTTGGCAATCATAAGTAACATGGTTTTCCCATAATGGTCATCATGGCAGCAGCACCCAAAATTGTGTTTTCTTCTATTCTGATGCAATATTACATAATGGTTACCAGCATAATGACAATCAATTTTTAATAATAAAATATATGTATCATGGATTTTCAGAAAATGTGACAAGCATGGGTCTTCAAGCCTGTGGAACTTTAAAGTCACACCTTGAAAATGCTAATATGTGAAAAATTAAAATTTCACAAAAAAAACTGTTTAACTGGCAGATTGCATTGCCTACTGAAGCTATATTTTAGTCCCATGTTTCTTTCCTGTAAGTTTGAGAACAGTAAGTGACATG